TCGGTACCAAGAACTGAATTAAATGCACTTCCTTATCGATCAGATAAAGTATGACTCTAGTGGCAAACTGTAATTTATGTGAAGATCTAGGATGGTCTAGCATCAGCTTCAGTTCTCAACGCAGCGGGCTTTGATGATTCTGCAATAAAACATGGCCTGGGGGCAGCTCTGGGCAGACTCCACGTTAACACCTCCAGAGTTCCCTCTCTTCAGGGATGCATGCTGACTGGCCACCCCTTTGAAAGTTGATACATTAATAGCAGAACCCGGTTGCACCCAGCCTTTGTGTATGCTCAGAAATTTCAAAACCATAAACACTTTTCCCCTCAAGGAATTAACAACTGAATTCCAGTGTTCACCATAGCTCCCTTTACACTCATGCTGTTTGGCCTTGTATGTCATGCATGGTATATACAATTTAGTCATAGCCGTATATGCATACACGGATTTTGTTTTACCTTGTCGTGTAGCTCTGACTGGCCTGGAACTCACTATGTAAAACAGGCTGGCCCAGAACTCACAGAGATCTCTCCAGGGCAGGGACTAAAGGCATGAGCCAGCACAACTAGCCTTAATAGCTTTGAAAACGAAGTGTCCTTAGGAATTCTTTCACTGTATCAGGTTGGCTCAACTTTTTGTTTATTTATGCCTTTCACCTTAAGCTTTTTAAAATTAATTTCTTTTTCATTTTTACATACAAGTCCTAGCTCCCCTTCCAACCCCCTTTCCTGCCTCCCCATCCACCTCCCTCCATCCACTCCTCAGAGTGGGTAAGGGCTCTCTCGGGAAGTCAACAAAATCTGGCATGTCAAGTCGAGGCAGGACTAAGCCCTCCCTGCTGTATCAAAGCTGAGCAATCACCTTATGTTTTTGGGGGGTGGGTTTTGAGATAGTTGGAGCTCACTCCATAGCCCAGGATGGCCTTGAACTCAGAGAGCACCACCCGCCTCTGCCTCCTGAGTGCTGGAATTAAAGGTGTGCACCACCACTGCCTGACTTCACCTGAAGTTTTATTTAGAGCGTAACACCCGTGTGTCCTCGTTCCCACCCACCCTTGGGACTTGTCAACAATCAAGCTGAACTCACCCCTGAGTTCCGAGTCTAGATCCTCTAGCACTAACATGTTGCCACCATGAGAGCGTCTGGACTCCAAAGGTTGTCTTCCTGGGGGCTAACAAAGCTGCAGTACGCTGGTCCTCAATAAAGCAGGCATCCTTCTGCAGCTGGGCTCAGCTGTTTATAGCTTCTTGTCTCCAGGTGCAGAAAGTCTTCTCATTTCTCTACTATGGTGAGAATCTGGATTTATAGCCCTCTGAGTTCAGGCCCTTCGGCAGTAGCCTTTTCCTTATATGCATTCTTGTATGGTATTTTCTTGCTGGTGAGAAGAATGTTTGTTCATTGATTGCTTTCTCCTGCAAGGGTTACATTAAAAAGTTTCTTAGCCATGTGCTCACATTTTCTGTCACTGTGCTTCTGAGATGAGAGTTAGTACACCCACTCCTTGTACCTCTCCTTATTTTGCTTAAACAGAGCAGAAAAGAACTGTGCAAAAATTTGCCCCATTATTTCTTAAATGTTAAATTTTTAATATCAAAATACAGTTATGTCCCTAGGTAGTGGATAAAGGTCCATAATAATGTGCGTTTACTTGACTTTTGCTCCTCATAGATGACCCTGAAATAACATTTGGCTATTACAGTAGTAATACCCAAATTCATTTTCAACTTGTGTCTAAAAAAGATGTAATTAATGTCCCAAGGAAAACCCAAGGTTGCTTGCTGAGGAACGATGTTCACAGCTTTAGCAAAAGCACTCATTGTACGGGCTACACTTTGTCTCTTTGTAGCCTTGGATAAGTTATTACTCACCGTATATTAACCATACTCTTTGCATCTTTTCAGAACACACTGCTCCCCCTCTTTTACTGCATCCTGTAAATTGGGCACTCTGTATACGGTTCCTACTAGAGCATTTATTGTATGCTTTATGGCCCTTATGAGACCTATTGTCTTTCATCATTTTCCTCCTTTCTTTTATCTCTGCCTGTTATAAATTGCTTTGGAGTTTTGTCTGATTTTTTAATTATATGCTCTGCACTGGGAGGATTTCTACAAGTTATTAGCCTCTTGCAGCATGAACCCTGCATCTTCCTTGTGTCTTGAGGGTCTCTTGTCTTTTTCCTAATGACAGTGTTATCTCTGACTCGGATTCAGTGGCCATAACAGTTTATAACTGGCTTAGGAGCTCCTAAGTCAAGATCTGTGCTCCTCCTTGTCAAGCCTTAAAAACTCATTTCTATTGTGCATAGTCCTGAGAGTTAGAGCAATGGTGGAAACAGTTTATTGTGTGGGAAAAGAAATATGTGGTTTAAGAACTCTGGCTTTGTCTTTAAAGGGATGAGGATAGACTGTCGAGATGGCTCGGTGGCTAGACTAGACGGCTCTTTCAGAAGACCTAAGTTAACACCCATGTCAAGTGGTCTATCAATGTAGCTCTCGCTCCATTGGCTCCCGTGTCTCTGCAGGCACCTAGCACACACTCATACCTCCTGGCCCTCAGGTACAGAGGTGTACAGTGAATTCTAAGTAAGGTAAAGATTTTATTGTGAAATGAACTCTGGCTTTCTGGGTCCTAACTCTTTATATTCTAGTTAGATTGTGTCTCCCCTCACTGGCGTACTGAAGCCCTAGTCTCTAACCACTTGGTAAATGACTGTTTGGATGTCATGAGCTCAGACAAGGTCATGTTAGAGGGTTGTAGGTCCCTGATCCCATTATACAAGGGACCTTAGCTTACTTCCCTCTCTTATAGCAGAATTTCAGACTGCATGAATTGTAAACAATAAAATTTCATTTTGTGTATGGTTGTGTATGGTTCTGAAGGCTGGAAAGCCCAAGAGCGTGGCACAGGCGTCTGGTGTTGGTCTTCACTGCATGGTGGCAGTGGCGGAAAGGCAGTGTGTGGATAGGTGTCTGATGGAGGAGGGAAGAGCAGGCAGAAATCATTCTTTTTGTGGGGAAATGGCTCTCAGAGCAGCCTCTCCACAGTCAGCCATCTGTGGGGTCAGAGCCCTCGTGACGGTTTACCTTCAGGAGTAACCGTCTGTGGGGTCAGAGCCCTCGTGACGGTTTACCGTTAGTGGCAACAGAATTCCAGCATGGCTTTAGAGAGACATGCAAGCAGTGGTAATTAATGTCTCTACCGACAGAAGGAGTCTGAACATGACCAGCACGCATTATGGGGAGATGAAGCCTCGATAAAGATCACTGGAGGGAACTCATTCTACTCCCATCTTATTTTGAAGCTCTGTCTTCTAGAACTGGGAGTTTGTGGTGTTTAAAGCCCCCAGGCTGTGGTTCTTCCTTACAGTACTCTGAGCATTGCTTGAAAAAAACATCCATTAACTCAGGCAGTTTTGAGGTTTCAATGTATTATTAGATGTAAAGTTCTTAGGGTAGTATTTGACATGGAACAAGCACTAACAATATCAATTAGTGTATTTGTTAAGCGCTAATTATGTACCATATGCCCTCCTAAATGTTGTCTTGTTATTAGCTGAATCTACAAAGACGTGATGCTGGAGGAAGAGTAGCCTGCTTATCGTGATAAAATACGAATTCCCCCTTCTTCTCCCATCAGCCATTGTTCCTTGTTAAACTAGTGCGAGTACTGATGCTGTAGTTGATGGGACAGTCACCATTGCTAACAGCTCCCACACGACAGAAGCTATTATAGTTGCTGTGTGTTATTCCCATCTTCCCACTGCCATGTGTTGTGTAGGGTGTCCCACAGGTGTCCACTACTGATGTCTTCAGTGATCTCAGTGGTCATCACTCGTGAGCTATGTCCTCCTCATCTTAAGCCTTATGGACCTCTCCTTCTCAGTTACCCACACTAGGGTTCAAAAAACAGTTTTCTCTCTGCGTGTTGATGTAAGGGTAAGTCTGTCCTGGGCTGTTTAGACCTTCTCCTTCTCCTCTGGTTATCTACCGCTGTGTTAGAGATGACTTGACACTTGGCTCGGAGCTTCCATGACCCTTTAATTTCTCATGCATTTGGACAGTGGCTTTACTGAGCCAGTGTGTGTCAGGATCTCAATGCATTGGTCTGACTAGCTCTTTGTTCCCTTTGGCTTTTCCATGTGGTGTCTCTGCATGACTAAGTTGAACTTCTTCCCCAAATGGCTGCCTCTCCAGCGAGGTAGAGCTCGTGTATGGTGTCTGTGAGTTGACCACTCTAGGACATAGGAGGAAGAGCAGATATTAGCCGTGATCACCCTCAACTTGCCGTTCAGGCAAGAAAGAGGAAGTCTCACAGCTAGGTGTGAGTCTCAGCCGAACTCTTGCTTTTACTTACACCCAGTTAAAAAAGATCAGGGCTGTGCAGATGGGGATTGCACAGGTGATGTTTTGAAACGTATAACGATTGCAGTGTTTGAAAAGCAGTTTACAGCTTCTTTGAGAAAATAAAAAGATGCATTTTGTGTATTCAAGCAGTTTTGGACTTTTTATTGCTGTGCAATACGAAGAATTCAAGTGAAAGGTTTATAAATCGAGTAGGTGAAGGGTGAGCAAAATCTGAAAATCCACTTTCAATGTTTCCATTTCTCTTTTTATTGCTCATTTATTTTACAGTCATGGTAAATGCTACCTCTTCTGTTCTGCTAAACTCCAACGGGTGAATCTTGAGTAAATACGTATTTATCATATTTGCCTCTCTCCTGAGAGAAATAATTAGCACAATGTGCTGACGAGCTCAGATGTTTCCAAACCAGTGTGACATCTGCAACATAAACTCTCATTGTCCACTCCATCAAGGGCTTCCCCATGTCCTTTGAGGAGTTGTGTCCACAAGTCATTGCAAAGTGCACAGGAAAGCATCAGTCGCGTGTCACCAGTCCTGGCTGGGTACGGCTTCTCCCATGCCGAGAACTGCATTCCATTGTCCGAGAGGGCTTGAGTTGGGTTAGCCAATCAACACTGTGTTCAATTGTCTTGCAGGTCCTCCATTCCTTTACAGACGCCATCTTTGACGAGTGGTTGAAGAGAAACAACCCTCCCACAGAAGCCTGGCCTCAGGAGCTGGCACCCATTGGTCACAATCGGATGTATAACATGGTTCCCTTCTTCCCGCCAGTGACTAATGAGGAACTCTTCCTAACCGCAGACCAACTTGGCTACAATTATGCTATTGATCTGGCAGGTAAGGAATACAGCTTCTACGTGGGTGACTCACTCAACTTCTAAGGCAGCTTTCTTTCTCTCTCTCTCTTTCTTTGTAATGGCAAGCAAGACTGGTAATTGAAGCATTCATGCTGAGTTAAGTTTATTGGCTATTTTTGAGAATACCTTGAATTTAACAAGATAAGTCATTAAGCTACCAATTAAACATCATACAGGGGCTAGATGCAGATCATTTGGGAAAACTGTAAGTTGTTAAGAGACCCTGTTCTACAGAGCTGCTGTCTTACTCTTCTGCCTGATCTGACAGTTTTATCTGCACTCATCAGATCCATGAATCTGCCCCGTGACTGTTGAGATGCGCAGCTGATGAAGTCCAAGCGACTTTCACTTACCTGTGGGCAGGCAGGAGCCGGTTCTCTCATCTGCAGGCAGAGTTGTGATTACTGAGACAAATCATCCCAAGATTCAAAGACCAGAAAATAGCAAAACCTCAGCTGTTGTGGAAAGTAATAGAATTAGTCACGCAAAGCGGTCACAAAGAGTCACTGCGTAGTTTGGAAGGCCAACTGTTGCTTATTTGATTGATACGGAGAAATGACTTTGCATCTGCACCAGGTGTTCTGAATCAGCCTTGGTGACGCCGATGTGCAGGGACAGGTATACCCAGGATGGCTCTGAGCTTCATAGCAGACTGGGATATGCAGAGGTTATGTTCCAAACCCATGCTTTCTTAGTCTAGCTTTTAAATTGTAGCTACATGAAAAACTGATTTCAACTGATTGAAAATATGGAAGGATATCTTTCTAGAACAGGGAGGAAGACTCAAAGAAGCCAATGGCCCCGGGTGCTTAGATGACACTCTCCACCAAGAGCGGGAAGTCCTGGAGATGAAACAAAGAGCAGAGGGCTTGGCCTCTGAGGAACGGCACACTGTGGGGAGAAATGGGAGAGAGGCGAGTCTGGGAGCTTGTGCAGCTTCTCAGCTGACCGTTTCCCTGCAGGGGTTTCTCGCAGTTCTTGTTTCTTTTGAGTTTTTTCATTTAGTAGCCAAGGAAGCGCTAGGCCGTGGCATCTGCTGCATGGCTAACACTTCTGTCTCAAATTGACCCTGTATCTTTGGGCGGGTTGTGAGGAGGGATAGTCTCATCCCTCTCTAACCCAAGATAGAAAGCAGTGAGGGACTTGGGAAAGACTTTCCCTACACGATGGATGGAAAAACTGGACTTGAGAAGACTGGGAGCCACTAAGTAGCTGAGCAGGTGTTTCAGACAGAAGGAGAGGATGGACAGGGAGGGGCACAGGTGGCTTTAATTGAAGTCTAGAAGAGGAAAGCTTGGTTTCGCTCAGATAACTTCTCAGAGCACGGAATGTCGGCAGGCTGGATGCTTTCAACTAGAGCTATAAGATGTGCCTGATGCCGTCTATCCCCTCCCTGCCATCTTTATTGCCCTTCCTTCCCACAGTGCAGGGAGGGGCTTTCTCTGAAGTCCCCATTCACCTAAAGCCCGGTGCTCCAGAGGATCAATAGAACAGACTAGATTTGATGGTGCATTCAGAGTCCAGGGAGCTTGTTCCAGGGACACCATCAATTTCCCCTGAAAGCCCCCTGAGTCTTTCCCTACAATCACCCCAGTTCCCACTGGATGGTTCTCAGAGGTTGACACTGTGTGGAGCTCCCATGCACTTATGCAGCCGTGACTTTTGAGGCCCATTTCTCCTGCTAATAAGCTTATTGTTGGTCTGTTTCTTTTATGGGCTCAAGCAATCTTAACTTCAAAGAGCAGAATGAAAGTCCTTTTGCTCCCACACCTTGCTATACTGGAAGGGCCTAGGCAGAGAGTCACTGGGTCTTATGGAAGACTAAGAATCACCCTAGGTTTATTAGAACATCTCAGTTTTCTAAAACAAGAAATCATTTATAGACAATGGTGATGACAGCCACATACAAATGTGAAGGTATTTTAATACCACCAAACTACATCTTAAAAAGCCACGATGGCAAAATCTATAATACCATAATTCAAAAATAATTTTTAAAAAGGCAAACAGGATTTGGACAGTAAGAGGCAGTCATTTTTGGTGTCTCCTTAAAGGAAGGATAGTATAAAAATCTGCGGTTTGTTGTTTTGTTTTTAAGACAGGGTCTTCCCATGTGGCTCTGGCAGGCTTGGATCTTGGTATGTAAACAGCAGTTCAGGCTGCCTTCAGACTCATAGAGATCTGCCTGCCTCTGTCCCCCAAGTGCTGGGATTAAAGGCGTGTGCCAACATTCCTGGCAAAATTTCCCATTTTAAGAAGCTGTATACAGAATACAGCTCATACACAATCACCCACACAAGATCAAGGCAGTCTACAGTTTACCACTGAGGTGGGTAGCCTCATGAGCCATTATCCACAGCTGAGGCACTGCTCACAAGTAGATGGCTTCTTGGAGAGAGAGAGAGAGAGAGAGAGAGAGAGAGAGAGAGAGAGAGAGGAGAGTCAGTTTTCTTTAAGAGTGGGAACACTGATAGGTGCAGCATGCTCCATCCGATGACCCTGTGCTCAGGAATATGAACAGCACGAATTGGCCTCCCTGGGTTATCACAAAAAAGGACATGAAGTTGGAGGTGGGTGGGTAAATAGAGGCTGGATCTGAAAAGAGTTGGGAGAAAGTGTGGAAGGTATAGCCAAAGACAGTGCCTGTAAGTCTAGAATAATTAATAAAATACTATATTATGAAAGGGAAAAAGGAAAAGCACTTAGAACCAGCATCAAATGAGTGATTGTGCATCCTACCAGGAAAGGACAATGAAATTCCACTTGGAGAGACAGAGCCAAGACAGGCCATAGCACTTGGTGTGACTGTATTGTGTCTTGGAAATGAGGGTCAGGTGTGGAAAGAGATAACTTGGAGGGGACCTGCAGCAGTTGCTAAGCTGTAAGGACATGACACGTAGCCATAAATATGTTTAAAAACCACATTGACTCCATGGGAGACTCCACACTATGGCCATGAGTGGAGGATTAGGGCTGCCGTGTGAGAGGCTCAGATTTTATTCACATGACTGAAGTAGATACGATTTGCTTCTGCTGGTGAGTGTCTCTGTCAGGAGAGTCCATTGCATTTCTGACATGTATTTATCATCCATTGCAAGGGTAGAGACAATAGCAGAATTTCCTACTGAGGGCTGTTCGTTTAACAGTTCCCCAAAGACCATCTTGGCTCTTATGTCTTCTAATGAGTTTCTAGCTTACTAAAGCTGTTCTGTATTTCCTTAGAGGTTTTGTTCTGCACCTAAACATTTACTGGAACAGATTTACAAAATCTAATAAGCCTTATTTAAATAATGGAATAACATTTCCAGCTTCCCTGAAAAAACAGTTGTGGGTGTGATAAACTACAAGAAACCAGAAGATAAAATTGCGGCAAGGGTAGTTTTGCTTTGCAAAGAAACGTACAGGCGAAAGGCAAACAGTCTTTCCTCCACTAGCGGTGTTTGACTGATGGAACTGTAATCACAGGGTCTTCTTCTCTGTTTCCATTTCAGCGGAAAAAGCTCCAGTTTGGACCACCACCCTCTCGGTGGTCACAGGAACGGTAGGAGCTTTTGTCGGTCTCGTGGGGCTGCTGGCTTTTCTTCAATACAGAAGGCTTCGCAAAGGATATGCACCCTTAATGGAGACACATCTAAGCAGCAAGAGATACACGGAGGATGCCTAGGGTGCTCTTGTCTTACCCTAGGAAAGAGGCTGGCCAAGCCATAGTCCTGGCATAGGCAGTAACTAAATACATATTTACTGATTTTGCTTTCGGTAAAAGTCTCCAGCATGCTTTCTTTGGGACCGATACCAAAGTGCATGAGCACTTTGGTAGTGATGACGACCCCTACATGTGATCTTCTGTAGTGAAGGTGACAACCCCGCCCCTGACAGAGATGCTTACATATAGTTGCTGCTTTGCTTATTTCATATTAGCAGTGATGCTTGCACCTATCACATCTCCAAAGCGTGATGGGGTCAGTTATCTGTGACCTTGATTAAAAATCCTTATATTGATTAAGCCTCTTCCTGTTCTGAAAGCACTGCCACTACCACCTCCACCACCACCACCACCACCACCACCACCACCACCACCACCACCTCCACCACCACCACCTCCACCACCACCTCCACCACCACCACCACCTCCACACCACCACCACCACCACCACCACCACCACCACCACCACCACCACCTCCTCCACCACCACCACCTCCACCACCACCTCCACCACCACCACCACCTCCACACCACCACCACCACCACCACCACCACCACCACCACCACCACATCATCATCATCACTACCACCTGTTGTAAGAAGGTCGCTTGTTGGTTTCCAACCTCTCTGGCTAGCTTAGACCCGAAATAATCACACAGAAACCATATTAATTAAATCACTACTTGGCCCATTAGCTCTAGCTTCTTATTGGCTAACTCTTACATATGAATTTAACTCATTTTTATTAAACTATGTATCACCATGTGGCTGTGGCTTACTGGCTAAAGTTCACGTGTCTGTCTCTGGTGGGGCTACATGGCATCTCCTTGACTCTGCCCTTCTTTTCCCCAGCATTTTGTTTAGTTTTTTCTGCCTAGCTAAGTTCTGCCCTGCTATAGGTCTAAAGCAGTTTCTTTATTCATTAATGGTAATCACAGCACACAGAGGGAAATCCCACATCAACCACCACCATTATCATCATCATCACCACCACCATCATCACCACCACCACTACTGCCACCCAAATCAGTATAAACACTGAGTAGATCCCTTTAAACTTGCAGATAAGTGTGTTTTGAAATCAGGATGAGATCAGTCAAAATATCTTTGCAAGTAGTGGTGTTTGTGGGGAGTATGCTTGTCAGCATTTCACTATTATATTGAAACACATGAAGCAAGCTAACTTTATAAAGAAAAGAAGTTTTTTTTAATCACTGTTTTATAGGCGTCAAGGACAAGGTGCTGAATTTGGTGATTTTGTTCTTGAAATAATCCTAAGGTTGTATAGAACATTACATGAATCACATAGCAAGAATTAAGTGTCTGTGTCTATCTGTGTGGTCTCTGTCCTTTTTACAGAATGCACCAGAATTCATTCGGTCAGGGCTTCATTCTGGCGGTCTTATTGAATCCTAATTACTTGTCCACCTCCAAAACAATAGTTTAAATTTTGTCTTCTTAATTCTTCATAATGGGGGTTAGGTGTTAATCCATGAAGCTAGAGTGGGGGGCTGGAGGGATCACACTCAGATGATGTCCAGACTTTGGGAGGGAAGGGAGGGAGTAGAGCAAACTCACAGGGTATCTGCGAGATATACCACCATCTGGGGAGGTGTGGAACATACTCAGACCACATCCTCTTAATCCCACCAACTGAGAATAAGACCACAGTTTAAAGTCCAATTTGAAGCAAGTTTTAATTGAATACTAGCCAGGTAGATGAACTCTGTCCAGCTCCATCTCTGGTTTCCCAGAAAAATGGCCTCAAATCAAGTTTTGCAGTTGGTTGAGTATTTCCCATCAGGGGCAAATATACGTCCTGATGTACCTTCAGCCTAGATCTAATCAGGGACAAGTATACATCCTGCTGTAATTCCTGCCTGTGAATTCCTGGCTGCAGTCTTGGGGGAAATAACCTGGTTGTCTGCTGCAGCTAAGGTTACCCTAGCCATCAAGACCACCAGAGACCCGAGAAGGATAAATTACAGCAGAAAACATAACAAATGGCTTGTGTATCAATACATGTAGTCCATTACCTAGTTGATCATCCCAGGCTCTTGTGGGCTCCATGGCATTGGGGGCAGAGGTACCAGGACAGCATCAGTCTTTGGCCATCAGGCCCAGAGGTGAGAGGCTTTCCTGTGAAGGAGATACATGAGGGTGGTGGCTGACCTTACTTTGTCTAGGCAAAGTGGGGCAACCAAGTCTCCAGTGTTCTGCTTGTACACAGTTTGGGCCAGGTCCTGGCAGCAGCTGTGGCACTGGGCAGTCTTGCCCAGTGATTAGTGTTACCACAATCCTGGTGGAGTGATCACGGTGCTCCATCGTCTTCTTTGGAGGTCTTGGGGTCACTGCTAGGAGCTGGGAGTCTCTATCATAGCAAGCTTTTCCATGAAACATTTTAAATACCATATTCACCACATCTCTGACAAGTTTGAAGACCATTATCTATTAAGTATATCTGAGCAAACACACCTAGGCTTAACCTTGAAAACACGTGAAACTAAATAAAACTTTTTTCTGTAATTAATCATACGAATACTTATTTGCCTACAAGTATAGTTCTGAATACATTAATGAATCTGACCATTTATAAGATGACTGGCCATTAACATGTGTTTCTATTATCATTAGCAGTTTACAGTAGTTATTAGCTTTCATAAGGCTAGGACCTGCTGGGTTAGGGCTTGTGAACAGGGACCGGGGAGCCTAGAGTCTAGCGTTGACCTTGAGAAGTTAATAAGCAGCACAGTTGTCTGTTAATTGAAGGCCACAGATCCCTTTTGCCAGAGATAAGGAGAATGACTCCCTTTTTAGCTTTTGCAGAAATTTTCTTCAAGCCCGCAGGGAATGGAGGCTTTTGTCTAAATGCCTGACCTTGGAAAAAAAGGAATTTATGGCTTTATCTCTGTTAAGTTGGAGTGTTAAAAAGAACAATTTCTCAACTGAAGCTCCTTTTAGTATCAAAATAAACAAGATTTAGGTACAGGGCACAACCATAACCTGCATGTGGCAAAACCATGCTCCAATAGTACAAACAAACAATTCAAAGCTCAATATCTGGGATTCATTCACAATTCTTTTGTTTTTGTTATTATTATTATTTTTAAATATTTATTTATTTATCATGTATACAATATTCTGTCTGTATGCCTGAAGGCCAGAAGAGGGCGCCAGACCTCTTTACAGATGGTTGTGAGCCACCATGTGGTTGCTGGGAATTGAACTCAGAACCTTTGGAAGAGCAGGCAATGCTCTTAACCACTGAGCCATCTTTCCAGCCCAATTATTATTTTTTTGAGAGCTTGGATCACCTCTTTAACCCCATCCTTGGCAGCAAATACACAGCCTGCCTTCTAGATCCCAGCCTGCACCATTTCATTGTAACTGGTGCTTCAGGTAACTATCACATGGCAGTGGCATTTCCAAAACTACTGAGGTCCCCCATTGCAACTGGTCTCTCTTTAGAAACGCTAGCCCTGCCATGCAGTGGCAAGCCTCAGCTGTTCTCTATGATCCCTTAAAACCAATACCACCTCGGTGACTCTTAAATAAGCATTGTTATTAAATCCTAGCTTTCATAAACCTTGTTTTCAGGACAGCACAGAAACTATCATACAAAAATCCATCCTAATCCAAAATATCTTGAAGACCTGTTGTTGCCTCCTTGGTAGGCCCAGTCCATGTAGTCACCTTTAATCAAGATGGCGGTAAAGTCACATGACATCTGCCTCTCCAGTCCTAGCAAAAGGCTGCCAACCATGTGACTGCCTAAGATGGTGGTGAAGTCATGTGATATGAACCCTCTAACCCTAACAAAGATGGCATCCAGCCATGTGGCTGCCTAAGATGGCAGAAAGCCAGTTGTTGCTAATATCCCAAAAGTTCCTTTAAGATTACCTATGGATAGATTTTTAACTATCAACTCCCAGTGTTACCACTTTTGAGTTAACTTTTTTCATAGGTTTTTAACCATCCCTAATAAAACAACTTGTAAACCCCGAGGTACAGAATGTTTGCATAAACCAGGTCTAATTTTTTCGGGTGTTCTTCTTTGCTCTCCTTTCTTCATCACAATGTCAGGGCTCTCGTGACATAGGATATTGAGGGAACTTTTTAAATATTCCTGGGTCTAGAAAAGACAGCCACAACACAACCCTAGAGCTAGCTTTCAAAAATTAAATGAATAGCATCAAACAACCTTAATGGTATCGACACCAAAAAGCCATCTGAACCGACGCTAACCTGAATCCAGTGATCAGAGAGTTCAGAGATAAACCTGAGCCCAGTTATAAAGACAGTCATGTAGTAACTGATGGCTGGCACACAGAGACAACAAAAATATCTGACCCATTTCTGTCTCATCTCCGTGATTGCAGCAAAACTTATGGATACTCCATAAAGCACAGATAAGACTTTCCAACAAAACAGGTAGACATGACTTTTGTGAAAAGCATACAGACAAAATTTTCCAACAATACAAACAGAACTTTACATGGGAAAGAAGTAAAACTTTCCATCCAGAAACAGGTAGGCAGGTGATGTCTTGCTATATTATATGCCCAGAATGGAAGAATATTAGGGTCCCATCAAACCTCCTCCACATCCCAGATAGGGATCCCACAAAACAGAACTAGACTGACTCATCACGAGGCTTCTGTTGATGCTTGCTGCATTTCTTGCCATGGAAGTCCACTCTGATAGTCCACAGACTGAAGGCAACTATGGAGCCTTGCAACATCTGAAGGCAAGTGCCTCCTGAAGTGTGCCCTCAGCACCAGAGTTCCAGAGTGAAGGTTCAGCTTCAGAATTTTGGTGGGTAGTTTGAATCTCGCTGGGCCCACTAGAAAATGTTAATACCACAACTGAGACTACTTCCACAGTTTAAAGTCAAATTTGAAGCGAGTTTTAATTAGATACTGGCCAGTTCCATGTCTGATTGCCCAGAAAAATGGGCTCCAGTCAAGTTCTGCAATGGCTTAAGTTAATGCCCATCAGGTCCAATCAGGGACAAGCATACATCCTGATGTATTTCCTGCCTGTGAATCTTACCCACACGCAATCAAGCACATCTGGTGCAGATGGATCAAACAAAATTGTTTAGAGGAATGAAAGATGCGTGGCTGTTATCTCTCTCCAGCATTCCAGGAACTCTCTGTCTTTGGGCAAGAGTGCTGTGTGACAATGGTCTCATACCTTGTCACTTACATTATATTGTTTTAATAAAACGCTGATAGGCCAGTAGCCAGGCAGGAAGTATAAGCGGGACAACCAAGCAGGAAGTAGAGGTGGGGTGATGAGAACAGGAGAATTCTGGGAAGAGGAACGAGTAAA